ATCCTTTGCGTGCGCACTTTTCCTCACCCTTGTTGAAACTGAAGTGTCTGTTTGGTAAGGTTTCATGCTTCTCGTTAGTTTTTTTATCGATATGTTGGTATCGACCCACTGACGAAAGTTGATGACGGGATTCGCTTTGCGATCATTGACGGTAAAAGTCGACATTGAAAGTTCATATGCGAACGTCGACGACGAAAGTCGGTATGCGTTCAGCAACGATGAAAGTCGATTCGCTTCTTCGACATCGATAGTTGAAAAGCGAACTTCGACGACTAAAGTCGATTCGCGTCCTCGACATCGATAGTCGACATCGACGGTCGAAAAGCGAACGTCGACGACGAAAGTCGAGACATGAATGTCGATGACGAAAGTCGAGATGCGAACGTCGACGACGAAAGTCGAGACGCGAACGTCGACCACGAAAGTCGAGACGCAAACGTCGACCACGAAAGTCGAGTTGTGAACATCGAGATGTGAACGTTGACGACGAAAGTCGTGATGTGAACGTCGACGGCGAAAGTCGAGTTGTGAATGGCGATGTCGAGCGTCGAGATTTGAATGTCGACGACGAACGTCGAGATGTAAACGTCGACGTCGAGCGTCGAGTTGTGAACGTCGAAATTTGAACGTCGACGGCGAAAGTCGAGTTGTGAAACGAAAGTCGAGTTGTGAACGTCGACGTCGAAAGTCGAGATGCGAACATCGACGTCGAAAGTCGAGATGCGAACATCGAGATGCAAACGTCGAACGTCGAGTTTTGAACGTTGAACGTTGACGACGAAAGTCGAGTTGTGAACGTCGACGTCGAAAGTCGAGTTGTGAACGTCGACATCGAAAGTCGAGTTGTGAACGCCAACGTCGAGCGTCGAGATGTGAACGTCGAGATTTGAACGTTGACCACGAACGTCGAGTTGTGAACGTAGATGTCGAATGTCGAGATGTGAACCTTGAATTTTTTTTTTTTTCTCCGAAGTCGAGATGTGAACCTTGAATTTTTTTTTTTTTTTACAAGTGTCTTGAATTGGCTAAGGTCCATATGGTTTGTTGAGGAGTTTGCGGTTCAGCTGAAGGGGCTTGTGGTTCTTTTTGCAGAGCTCTTAGATGGTGAAAAGCTTTGAGGTAGTTATATTGGGATTTGATCAGTTGCCTGAAATCCTGGTCTGCCGACATTATTGCAATGTCTAGGAGGGTAAGAGAGTAAAATAGTTTTAGAAGTTAGGGTTAAGGTTAGGGTTAGGGTTAGGTTAGGGTTAGGGCTAGGGTTAGTTTAGGAGATGTCGACCACGATCATACATCAGAGAATCATACATCTGTATTAGAGAGAGCGTCTTTTGAGTTGTTTGATTGTGTTTGTGCTTTTTGCAGAGCTCTTAGATGGTGAAAAGCTTTGAGGTAGTTATATTGGGATTTGATCAGTTGCCTGAAATCCTGGTCTGCCGACATTATTGCAATGTCTAGGAGGGTAAGAGAGTAAAATAGTTTTAGAAGTTTGTATTTAAATGCTAAATAATCAGATTAAATCTAGCGAACTTGGAGGCGTTAGGCCTGTCTGGGCCACCCGCCTCCAAAAAGCCTGTCTGGGCTTGGTTCGCATCTCCCTCCCATGTCTCCTCCCCATCGAGACAGGAATGAGACATCGGAGGGAGCGAGTTATAAATTACATTCAAAAACAAGCCTCTAAAAAGGATCCTGTGCGTAAAATGGTATGTCAAGTCCGATGGCTCTGGCAAAGGTTAGGTTTTGAAAAATTACAACAGCTCCCCCCGACCTAGCACCCGTCTAGGAAGGTTTGGAGTAGGGAGACTGAGGATGCGTGCAAGGGCCTACGCCTGTTAGACTATACCAGGAAAGCATTGATCCATCTCCTTTCCAGGAGAATAGCCTATTTGGGCATTGGGCTGAGAATGTGGAGGACCAGGAGGTAGGGAGATTGAGAAAAGGATATTCCTGTTGGTTTTGTTTTGTTCCCTTCTAAGAGATTAGCCTAACTGGGCGTTGGATATTCGGTTTGGGAAGGCTAGGTTTCAGGTCCATAAGTCTACGAACGGTAGGTTTTGGGTAAG